GGGTTGGGGCGGCGGGCCCCGGCGGCTGACAGCGGCCTGTCCTGCCAGGAGGAGGAATTCCGCTGGCTTCTGCACGACGAGGTGCACGCCGTGCTGAGGCAGCTGCAGGACATCCTAAAGGTAACGCCTCGCGGGGCTGCCCTGGGCCTTTGCGCGCGCCCACCCTCCCCCGTCTCCCCTGGCGCGGCTCCCCGCTCGAGCCGGCCGTGCCTGCCTCCCTAGCGCTGTGTACGCGTCGCGTGATGTTCAGACGGGGCTTTGTCGTCAGTGGACTTGTGGTCTAGTCGTGGGCGCCAGCAGATAATTACCCGATTCCACAAGCAGCTGCGTGAGCGCTGTGGGCCTGAGTTGGGCGCTGGGGTCCGGACGGGGGAGGCCTTTTTTGAAGCAGTGACGTTTAATCTGAGATCAAGGACCCCAACACTGTGACATTAGCTAAGTACTCAATCTCTCTGGCCTCCCTTTCATCATTTGCAAAAGGGAGGTAACAGCACCTGTCTCAAGGGTTGTGAAGATAAGCCAGTCAACTCACAAATGTCCAGGCATTGCCTGGTATGGCCAGCAGTGCGGGTTGCCATGACTACTTTGGTTCCCTGACCCTGTTCCTCGCTGCACCTTAACCAATGGGAGAGTATTCCTGTTCTATATCCCCGTGTTGAGCACAGGCCCCAAGGGAATGTGGAAGGAGCAGGTACTGGCTCGGGTAAGACCTGAAACTCAGGCCTTAGGGGAGGAGCCAGAGCATCCAGAAGGTGCCCTGGAGGCTTGAGTAGGGTGTTCCTGTGAGGCCAGCCCACCTTGTTCCTCCCCTAGCCCACCTGGGAGTGGAAAGACCACTGGGCTGGATTGGGTGAACTTTGCCTCACTCCCCTCTGCCCCCAGGAGGCCTCTCTTCGCTTCACTTTGCCCGGCTCAGGCACAGAGGGGCCTGCCAAGCAAGAGAACTTCATTCTGGGCAGCAGTGGGTGAGCCCTGGCTTGCGGGGAAACCCCTGGGATGGGCTCCTTAGGAGAGGGGGGACACCTGGGTTAGAACATCTTGTGACAGACAGCCAGAAGCAGCCCACTGGGAGGGCTGGGTGGTAGGAGGGGTCAGCTGCAGGCTCTGCTCTCACCTCCATGTGTTGCAGCACAGACCAGGTGAAGGGCGTGCTGACTCTTCAAGGAGACGCACTGAGCCAAGCGGTGAGTCCCTGGCCCCCTCTCTCCTTTCCATGTTACTGGAGAAGCCAGTGGGGAAGAGCATGGGGGGTTCCTGTTTATCTCAGCTCTACCACTGGCTGGCTGTGTGACTCTGGGCAAGATCCTTAACCATTCTCGGCCTCAGTTTCCTTGTTTGTAAATGACAACAACCCCAGCCTTCTCATGAGATTAGTGTGTGGTTTCAGTGAGAAGTGCAGGAAGGGGGTGCTTTGCCCATCACCCAGCCCAGAGTCTGGGCCTGGTGAAATATAGGCACTGGCAGGATTAGGCTGGCCCCAGATCAAAGTGGAATCAGTCAACATCTGAGCTCCATCTGCACCCGGCCCTGTGCCAGGTGCCAAGGTGTAGGAGAAGGTCCCTTTCCTTCGTGGGTGGGTGTTCAGTCCATTGGTTCGTGCAAATCTCTGTCTGCCCACAGTCACACACCTTCTCCCAGCTGAGGCCACCTTCCCCTTTCTCAGCCTCTTTTCCCTTTCATTTCTTTTTTCATTATTATTATTTTTATTGATCTCAGAGAGAGGAAGGGAGAGGGAAAGAGAGCTAGAAACACCAATGAGAATCACCAGTTGGCTGCCTCCCGCATGGCCCACTCTGGGGATCAAGCCCACAACCCAGGCATGTGCCCTGGAATCGAACCTCAATCCCCTGGATCATAAGGGACACCCAACCGCTGAGCCACGCCAGCTGGGCTCCCTTTCATTTCTTTGTGGTTCCTCTTGGGCCTGAGTTCCTGTTTCCTAATCTCCCTGTTTACCTCCAAAATGGCCAAGGTGTTGGTAGTCCTTCCCCCCACTGCCCCCCAGGAGTGGCCTAAACCACCACTGTTTCTGCCCTTGGCTCAAAGGCTCAGAATGGCCAAAAGCAGAAGGGCATCCCTCTGCCCAACTTATCCCACTCTCACCCATCAGGACGTGAACCTGAAGATGCCCCGAAACAACCAACTGCTGCATTTTGCCTTCCGGGAGGACAAGCAGTGGAAGCTGCAGCAGGTAACAAAGCCCTTCCCCAACCAGGGCTCAGGCCACAAGGGTAGGCAGGGGCAGGCCTGCACAGTGGTACTAAGGCCTCCAGGGGCTGCACACTGAGGATCTGCTGCCACAGCAAGCCTGTAGGGTGTTTCCTAACAGGGAAGCTGGGCTGGGTGGGGCCTGGGGCTCCAGAGCCTAGCCTGTGGGAGGTGGAGAACCTGTCTGTATGTCCCCAGGCCTCAGCCAGAGCCACAGGGAAACCCCCTGAACAAGTCTTTCCCTGCCCAAAGCCTCCAGGGTCTTCCCATGGCTCTTTTTTTTTTTTTATTATTACAGGTGTCCCCCATTTCCCCCACCTTTGCCTCCTTCCACCCTGCCTCTACCCCGCCCCCAGTGCTTCACCACATTATTGTCTGAGTCCATGGGCTGTGCATATACATTTTTTGGTTGCCCCATGGCTCCTGCGAATAAAGTCCATACTCCTATCAACTCCTACTTCACTGGGCCCCAGCCTCTACTCCCCTACAACTGGCCACCAGCAGTCTCCACCTCCAGGCCTTTGCTCTTGTTTGTCACTCTGCCTGGAGTACTTTCCACTATCTTTTCTCATCACAGTAGTGATGAGTGTCAGCTCAAGAGTCACCTCCCTAACCCCATCTAAAGAAGCTCCCCAACCCTCCTCCGTCACCCTGTTTATTTCCTTGCGCAAGTCATGCAGTCTGTTTCTTGTGCCTTTACTCTGTTACCATCTGCCCTCCTTTAGAAAGTGAGCTACCTGAGACCAGGGACCAAGCCTGCCTCAGTCTGTGCCATGTGCCAGCACCCAGCCAGGGCAGGAAGCCAACAGTTATGGGGGAGGAGTCAAACAAGCAGCACCCACCCACCCCCTCCAAGGATGACAGCCCCACAGAGTGGAGGCCCATGGGCTGTGGCCTCAGGACTGTGGCTGCTCTGAATCTGGCACCTCTCCCTGGTGGGGCCCAGCCCCCTGACCACTCCATGGGCACTGTTTTTAGATCCAGGATGCCAGGAACCACGTGAGCCAAGCCATTTACCTCCTCAACAACCGGGACGAGAGCTACCAGTTCAGGACAGGAGCAGAAGTCCTTAAGGTGAGCTGTCTGCAGGGACAGGGGAGCCAGGTTTCCCACACCCTGCCCTGGAGAACTCTGCCCCCATGTCCTCAAGTATAGCTGACAGTTAACCCTTCACCTCTCAGTGTACATATGTCCATCTGGCCACAGTCAAATGGCTCACAGCCCAGGCTCCAGAATCAGACCTGGGTTCTGATCCCAGAGCCTCCACTATAAGCTGTGCAACCTCAAGTCATTTACTTAGCCACTCTGTGCCTCAGTATCCCCCTGTAAAAGGGGGACAAGATGTGGTGACTGCCAATTGTTATAATGCAGGTAAAGCAGCCTCTAATAAGTTCTCAGTAAATAGTAGCTGCTAGTAGTAGTACTAGCAATAGAAAAAAACCCTTGTAATTAACAAAGTCAATTCACAAAGCATAGAGTGGAGAACTGAGTCTGGATGCCCTGGACTTGCTGTGTGTCCTCAGGTGATTCACCTACCCTCTCTGGATCTCTGATTCTTCATATGAAACTTGAACTAGATGAGCTAAGGTCCCTCCTAGAACTGACTGCCTTGGGGAGGTATAAGCTATAGCCTCCATGCCTCCTCCCAATAGTTTTGCCTTTCCTGGGAGCCAGGGCATCCTAGCACTCACAGCAACACCTGGAAAGAGTGGAAGCTGGGGCTCTGAGGAGTCCAATCCAGGGCTTTGCTCTATGGTAAAGGAAAGGGATGAGTTTAGATGGTTCTACTGTTCACTAGCTATGTGATCTTACCCCTTCAGAGCCTCAGTTTCTTCACCTGTGACAATGGGGTTGGTGCTTGACTTAAGGCATCAACTCAACTCTCCCATTGCTTCCTCCAGGAAGCCCTCCCTTGCCCCTTCCACCCTAGCTAGATTAGGCCCCTTCTAAGCTCTTTCATTGCCATCCTCAAAGCCCTCATGCCCCTGAGACTAACTCCTGGCATCTCATTCCCCATTGGACCAGTCCCCAGGATCCTATGCAATAGAACCTCCTGGGTGGATGGTATACAATACAGACATCCTACCCTCCCCCAGTCAGGCCCCAATTACTTGCATTTTTAACAAGCCCCCGCTTTAGGGGAGTTCAGGTCCACCAGGGTAGGAGCTGGAGCCACCATAACTTTGTTACTCCCTGATACTGGAGTTGGGGGAGGACAGGATCAGGGCCAGGCCCTGCTGCCCTCTCAGCAACTGTGACCAGCCCCCTCCCTCCAGCTGATGGATGCTGTGATGCTGCAACTGACCAGAGCTCGCAACCGGCTCACCACCCCAGCCACCCTCACTCTGCCTGAGATCGCCGCCAGTGGCCTCACGGTCAGTGCCTTGGACCAGGAGAGTGGGTCCCCTGGAAAGCGATACTGGTGCCAAGGGGTCAGAAGCCCCAAATTGTCATCAGTAGGAGTTCTATATCTATGTCTATGCACAGTTTTCTGGGATAGGGTCCTCAGCTTCCCTCCTGTGTCCCCCCAGATACATCACTCCTGGTCTGAGTCAGTGATTCCCAAGCGCAGCAGAGCAGGAAGTTACCCAGGGCACCTGGGAAGAGTCTGGATGCCCCAGTCCATAGGATGAAGGCTGAGATTCCCCCAAGTGGTTTCTGGGGGGCCTCTACCTACCCTGCCCTCATCTCACTTTCCTGCCTTCTCCCGCAGCGTATGTTTGCCCCCGCCCTGCCCTCCGACCTGCTGGTCAACGTCTACATCAACCTCAACAAGCTCTGTCTCACCGTGTACCAGCTGCACACCCTGCAACCCAATTCCACCAAGGTGAGCAGGATCCCACCAACCCCTCACCCCCCACCTCTGCCCCCACCAGCCCATGCCCTGCAGCCCCAATGGTCTGACTGGGTCTGGTGCTTTTCTGCCTAGAACTTCCGCCCAGCTGGAGGCTCTGTGCTCCACAGCCCTGGGGCCATGTTGTAAGTACACTGTTGGGAGGTGTGCCTGGGAGCTCCTGCTACACCTCAGGGCCTGGGGGCTCAGGGACCCAACCCTCTGCTCGCAGTGAATGGGGCTCCCAACGTCTGGAGGTGAGCCATGTGCACAAAGTGGAGTCCGTGATCCCGTGGCTCAATGATGCCCTCGTCTTCTTCACCGTCTCCCTGCAGCTCTGCCAGCAGCTTAAGGATAAGGTGGGACCATGGAGGTGACCGGGGCTGGGCTGGGCCACAGTCTCAGACAGGCAGCAAGCTGCTTAGCCCCTTCATTTGGGGGGGATTCCAAGGACTCTTGTTAAAAGCACCCCCAAATCTTAAGGTCTTTTGTACCCTCCACACATCCTCTCCCCCACCTTCCCTCCCTAGATCTCCGTGTTCTCCAGCTACTGGAGCTACAGGCCTTTCTAAGCAGAGCACCCAAGAGCCGGTTCCCCCGAGAAGTGGCTCCTACCCAGGATATTCCTGTCCCCACCACACACACACCTTGGAGTGCAGGCCAGAGCCAGAGCCAGCACTATGGGTGATTTACTTCCCTTCTTGACTGTCCTGCCTGTCACATTTGCACAGATGGGAGTGAACACTGGAACCTCTGGAATAAAGGGAGGCTGACTTGCTTTTTGTTTTGGATGGGGGTGGGTCAGGAAGGTGGGGTCAAGAGGTGGCCCACATTGTAAGCCCTGCCCTTTGGACTCAAGGTGGAGCCCAGCCCAGGGCTCTCCCTCCCTGCTTTGCTGCCTGCCTGCTGAACTGCCCCCAGGTGAGGGGCAGCCACACTCCTCCACCCACTGGAAGGCGAAGAGTGGGTGGGGACCCTGAGTTGGGAGTTGGGAGTTGGGAGGGAAGGAGGAGGAAAGGGCAGAAAGAACCCATCTACCATGAGCTGGGGGTGCCCTTGACTGTTTACTCAGCAGCCCCACCAGGGCCTCCAAGAAATAAAGATCATCTGACTTGCCTGGACCCCTCTGTCTGTGTCTGAGTGGGGACCAAGTTGGGGGTCCCTGATTGTCAGGAGCTAGGTGGAGTACCCAGAGCTAGGTGGACTGAGCCCCTGGCCTATTCATGCCCCCTTTGAGAGAGTCCTCTGGCTGCTGAGGGGCTGAGTGGAATGGTGACAAGGGCTCTGTCTGGGGGTTTGGGCCCCGAGTTTGAGCCTAGCTTCCCCTCCCATGGATAGTTGCTGGATGACCTCTAGCAAGTTACTTAAGGTCTCCTGGTGACAGTCATGCTGCCTGAAGTCTGTGAGGGACCAGGTGGGCACCTAGAGGGAGCAGTGAGTACCTGCATTGCCCACCCCTTGATGGGAAGTTGGAACACACTTCAGACTCAGGCTTTGGGCAAACAAGGCCTTGTTACTGTTGCCCAGCAGGACATGTGAGCAGATGGGCTGAAGGATTCGCCTCATTAAGGTTCCAGAGTCAAGTTACTCACTCCCACAGAGTTCTCCTGTAAGAGAGGCACAGAGGGAGCCTGGTGGGCTTCAGGCCTTAGTTGCCTGCTTGCCCCCATCTAGAGGAGTCCCAGCAGCCTCTCCACCACCCCTCCTCCACTCCGGTGCAATGCCTGGCCTTCTGGGGTCAATGGGACTCACCTGCTTGGCACTCGCCTTCTGGGATCTAGAGGAGCAGGGGTGGCGGCAGCAGCAGCAGTGGAGCCAAACAAGCAGCAGCAGGAACAACACAGTGCCTGGGGGTGCGACAGGTGTCCAGTCATGGCCCTCACCTAGCACCTGGTATGGGAGGTGGAGGGGCCAGAGGCAGAGACCGTACTCACTCAGGAAGATGAGGAAGATAATGAAGGCAGCGATGTCCCACTTGCACTGGAACAATTGGTGGCTCTTCAGTTTCCCCAGCACTTCCTCTGCTGTGGTGTTCAGATCTTTCAGGTTGTCCATCTCAGCTAGAGGGTCCTGGGTGCCACCTGCCCCAGTCCCTGAGAGGGAGCCCCTTAGAGCCCTGGGCTCCTCAGGCCAGACCACATACAGGCTTCCCACAGTCCCGCCCCTGCCCCTTTCACACCATCTCTCTGGGCCCCAGTTCCTGCCCCAGCCTCTCCTCCACTCCTCTCCTTGCTCAGCCCCTCTCTTGGTCCTGAACCTGCCCTGGCCAGCCCCTTCCCCCTCCCACTCCCCTGTAGCAGCCCCACACCCAGACCTGACCTGCCTCCGAGCTCCCCCAGCCAGGCAGGTCCTAACTCCTGGGAGCTTAGGCTACTTCCTGCTTCCTGATCCACTGCCCCTGAGGCCTTGGCAACCGGCCCCACTCTCCCCAGGGCCACCCAGGGGCTGTCAGAACTCTGGGGGGTGTGGCCTGTGTCCCAACAGATGTGCTTCCTGCCTCCAACAGCAGCTGGTACTGCTGGTCCCAGGAGGACACAGGCCCATCAGTCTCATTCCAGGGCTTTTTCACTTTTTCTCAGTAGACCATACAAGCAGGCGGGGACAGTGACCACTCTGCTGCTGTTGGCTTCATGAATTAAGGAAAGACAAAGAAAAAGAAGAGAGGGAGGGAGGGATGGAAGCAGGGAAGGAGAAAGGAGCCCTGGCTGGGTGGCTATTGGAGCATCCTCCTGTGCACCAAAAGGTTGCAGGTTTGATTCCCGGTCAGGGTACACACCTAGGTTCTGGTTCAATCGGCAGTTGGGGCATGTACAAGAGGCAACCAATCAATGTTTCTCTCTCACATCAATGTTTCCCTCTCTCTAAAAAAAAATAATAATAATAATAACATATCCTCAGGTAAGGATTAAATAAAAAAATTTTAAGAGGAGAAAGGGGAAGGGACAGAGGGAGAAATTGTATCCATTCCACCGCCCTTCCTTCAGCAGCTGGGATGTGCCTCACAACATATAGAAATCTTGGATCCTTATTTTCTATTTAATCTTCCCAATAACCCTACGGTTATATCTCAAATGAGCTCTTTCCCCAGAACTTGGGGCTTGGGGCCCCTAACCCTGCCATCCCTGACCCTGTCCAGTGAGACTGCTCTCACTTCTGCCTTCTTGCAGAGCACAGATGTGCCCAGGCCTACTGGGGGCCAGACACTACTGGGCACTTGAGGTTAGCTGTAAACCAGGCAGACAATTTTTTGTTCTTGTAGTGCTCATGGTCTAGCAGAGAAGAACATATCAGCCAATGTTAGACTATATGTACATTACTTAATTTATTCCTCATGGCAATCCTACAGTGAGGGCCATTGCTATTCCCATTTTACAGATGTGAAAACCAAGACCTCAAGAAGCTCAGCAACCAGCTCAAGTTACACATCTAAGGGATTCATTTCCTATTGTTGCTGTAACATAATACCACAAACATAGTGGCTTAAAACAATACAAATTTATTACCTCACAGCTCTAGCAGTTGGAGTCTAAATGGGTTGGCAGGGCTGTGTTCCTTCTGGAGGCTCTAAGGGAGAAACTCTTCCTTGCCTTTTCCAGCTTCTATAGGACACATTTTTTTGGTTCATGCCCCAGCCCCATCACTTTAATTTCTGCTTCCATCCTCGCATCTTCTCTGACTCTACTTTCCTGATTTTCTCTTATAAAGAATCCTGTGATTACATTGGCCCCCAGGATAATCTCCCCAGCAAAATTCTTAGTCACATCTGCAAAGAATCCTTTTGCCACTTTAGGTGACATATTCACAGGTTCCGGGGATTAGGATAGAAATATCTTTAGGGGCCATGACTCTAAGCCAATCATGCCTGGTGAGCAGAGAAGCCAGAATTGGGACCCAGGCCTTCAGATCCCAGAGCCCTTGACCGTCATGTTATGGGATTTCCTTTACTGGGATCCCCATCTTACACCCTACCTTTATTCCCTCCATCCCATTCTGAGATCTCAGATTCCTGTTGCAGAAGGAGGAAGGGTAGTTTTGAAATGACTGGAATACTCTCTTGCACAAACAGGGAGGATACAGCCACTATGGAAAACAAGTCTGGCAGTTTCTTAAAAAGTTACATATAGTGTTATCATATGACCTGACAATTCCACTCCTAGGTATACACCAAGACAATTGGAAACAAGTACTCAAAGGCTGTACACAACTGTTCACAGCAGCACTAACCACAATAACCAAAAGGTGGAAACAAACCAAGTGTCCATCAACTGATAGACAGATAAAATGTGGTCTACCCATATAATGGAATATTATTCATAAAAAGGAATGAAGCCCTGACACATGCTACAACATGGGTGAACCTCAAAAACATGCTGCTAAGTAAAAGAGGCTAATCACACACATACTGTATGATTCCATTTATATGAAATGCCCAGAACAGGCAAATCCATAGAGACACAAAGTAGTGGTTGCCAGGGGATGGGACAGTGAGTGCTTAGTGGTTATCAGGTTTCTTTTTGGTGTGATGAACATGCCTTGGAATAGATAGAGGTGATTTTGCAACATTGTGAATGTATGAAATGCCACTGATATGTTCACTGTAAAATGGCTAACAGTTAATTCTATGTTACATGAATTTTACCTCAGTTGGAAAAAAAAAATTGGGGAGGGAGGCCAACAACTTCAGCCCTACCCCCACCCCCCTTGGCCTGGCTGGGTGGTGAAAAGGCCCACAGTCCCCTTCCCTCCCCACTGGCCCTCAGTCTCACAGTCCAGACCCATGGGTGCCTCATTTCTTGTTTGTCATTCCCATTATGAAAGTAAAACCTCACCTTAGCCGGTTTGGCTCAGTAGTTAGAGCATCGGCCCATGGACTGAAGGATCCTGGGTTCAGTTCCAGCCAAGAGCACATACCTCAGTTGTAGGCTCGATTCCTGACCCCAGTCAGGGCATGTGCTGGAGACAACCCATCGATGTGTCTCTCTCACATCGATGTTTCCCTCTCTCTCTCTCTCTCTCCCCCTTCCACTCTCTCTGAAAAGCAATAAAAATATATCCTCAGGTGAGGATTTAAAAAGAAGAAGAAGAAGAAAGGAAAACCTTCTCATTAAAGAAAATCTGGAAAACTCCAATCCAAGGTGTTAAAATACAAAACCACCCATAGAGGCCCCAGACCCAAACAGAGCAATGATGGGGTGGAAGGGTTCAGTTACTCAGACCCCAGACTCGGATCTTGATCCCAGCTCTTAACACACACCAATGTGTGACCTGAAACACAGTCCCTGACACCTCTCTGCCTCAGTTTCTTCATCTGTAAGATGTGTGTGAGAACAGTATCCCCTCTCCTCAGGTTGCTGTGGAATAATCTTTAGCACAATGAGGCAGACTAGAAAACAGGCCCTAAGTGGCCGTGTGTTACTCTCACTCAACTTGTGGCTGTGATTCCCTCCAGTTCTTTGTCCTTAGTATACATTTGAGCTCGCCCACCACCCTCACACTGCTCAGATCACTTTACCCTACATTTCTCCCAATCAACACAGCCAAGAGTATCTTCCAAATGACCGCCACTTTCTGCAAACCTGGTCCTCCAGTTCGCCATCCTTGTGGGTACCCACTAAGGCTTTCTTCCCAACATTTTTCAGAATCCAGCATCACTCACATGCGACGGTTTTCCTGGAGGAAGTGCTTTCTCTGCAGAGAGACTCATTCCCTAGGGGACATTCCCAGAAGCAGAAGGTGCTCCCATTCAAGGTCAGACCACAGGTCACGGGCACTCTGGTCATCTGCATATAAAGTTCTCATTTGCTTTGATGAGGCCAGCCTTGCTGAATCTCTCAAGAACTATGGAGTTGTAACTTGAGAGATTTTTTTCTGCTGGAAATGGAACCATGTTCAGGGCAGACTCGGTCCCAGTCCTGACCCAGGCCCTGCCCAGCCCACTCCCAGCCTCCAAGCCTTGAAAGTAAAGGTTAGGCCTCTTGTCAGATGTGTAGAAGGTGGGGGAGTAGAAGAGTGTGGTCAGAGAGGGACAGAAGGCTGGTTGGAGCACAGGACTATTGAGGTAAGTGGATTGGGGCAGAGTTGGTGAGTCCCAGTGGACATAGTAGGGGTCAGTATACAGTTTTACTGGCACATAGTCACGCCCTTCCCTTTACTTTTCTGCTTTCCCAGCTGAAGAGTAGTTGCAACAGAGATTTTATGATCTGCAAAACCTGAAATCTATATACTATCTGAGAACTATTAACATCTGAGACAGAGGGTTGCTTAGGGCTTGCAAACTCAGGTGCCAGGGAACAGATGAGAGAGAAGTGAGTGAGATGGACTTGGTATAAGAAAATAGGGAGACATTAGGGAGGGGCGAAGACTACGGCAAACAGGAGAGCCCTTGGCCCAACTAGAGAGCAGCTTGAGTTAGCTATGGGCTGGGTCCCAGGTTGCCAGGGCTTACAATCTCTAAGGTAACATTGGAAATCTAGATGTTTGTGTGAACAAAAAAAAGAGACCAGAGAAGATGAGCACATGGCCTCAGATTTCATCTTTGCCACTTCCTCACTGTGTGACCTTGAACAACCCCCTTGGCTCTCTTATCCATAAACTGGATATAATAACAGCACTTGTTTCATAGGGCTGTGATGGTTATTAAACAAATTCCCTTCCTAGGGCCCTTAGGACAATGCCATGCTCAGATTAAGTAAGGGATAAATATTTGCTAAATTAATGTTTGATTTTTCAGTGCTGCCCATTTAAAACACAATGGTGCCAGCAATGGGCAGACCAAAGAAAACACATGAATGTTCTGCTTTCTGGCCACAGGTCACACGTTTGTATCCCCTGGAAGAGTGGTTGGGCTGAAAGGAGCCCAACTCTGCCACTATACCATCTAGGTGACCTTGGGGGAGGGAGCTGCCCTGAGCACCTCAGGTTCCTGTCTATAGTACTAGGCCAAGGTCATTGTGAGGATTACAGGGTAGTGTCTCCATAGGGCCTGGAGGAGCAGCTTACCTGCCCCTGCCCTCGGCTCCCTGATGCAGAGGAGCCCCCAGGTGGGCTCATGGGGAGCAGGTGGGGCTCCAATTCTTCAGTTAACTGTCACCCACCCCTCCCCCTCCCCACAAACACAAGGATCTGCCCTGACAGGGCAGCCTCTAAAGCTCCCATAGGAACCCGAAGCATCCAGGTGCCACACGAGGCTGCTTCTCACTTTCTGTCCCCCACAGGTCTGGTCCTGGGCTTTGCTGGGGGAGTGTCTGAGCAGAGAGTCTGCCTGGGCCATGGGTGGGTCGGGAGTGGGAGCCGGGGCAGGGAAGGAACAGATCCCTGGGACTGGTGCATATCAGAATGGGAGTTCAGGCTCCCTCCAGAGGCAGCTCCCCCAGGTACCTCTCACCAAACCCCTTGGGCAATGGGGGCTTAGAGGATAGACAGATCAGGGGGCATAATGCGTGAGTGTCTGGAAGCATAACTAGGGAGTCAGGGTTCAAAAATGAGAACTCAGGTGGTCCCCCTCTGGAGCCCCAGCAACTCCCTTCTCCCCACCTCATCCAGGTGACAGGCATCATTGTGCCCTTGGCCCCATGGACCCCCTGAGGCGATCCCCTTCCCCCTGCTCATCAAGGCCCTCCAGCCCCAGGACCCCGCCCTGCGAGATGCTTGGCCACGTGGGCATCGAGGCCGTGCTGGACCAACTGAAGATCAAGGCCATGAAGATGGGTTTTGAGTTCAATATCATGGTGGTGGGTGAGTGAGGGGCAGGGGCTCACAGGAGGACAGATCAGGGGGCCAGGGCATGTTGCCTCACCTCTTGGGGCCTTGTAGTTGAAATCTGGGAAACAATGAGTCATTAAAGGACAGAAGTCACCCATGAAGCCCCAGCCAAACCCAAACAGAGCAAACAAAGGGAGTCTGAGGCGGGAAGTGGGGAACACCCTCACTCAGGTCCTGCTCCCAGCCCGAAACCCATCAGCCCACCAGGATGTAACCTTGGGCATGGTCCCTGACCCCTCTCAGCCTCCGTTTCCTCATCTGGCTTAGCATAGTGCCTGGTGTTAATAGGTTCTCCATGGGTCAGTTTATCTGGAATTGCTTTTTTAATTTTTTTTNAGGTCCTGCTCCCAGCCCGAAACCCATCAGCCCACCAGGATGTAACCTTGGGCATGGTCCCTGACCCCTCTCAGCCTCCGTTTCCTCATCTGGCTTAGCATAGTGCCTGGTGTTAATAGGTTCTCCATGGGTCAGTTTATCTGGAATTGCTTTTTTTCTTTTAATTTATCTTTATTGTTGAAAGTATTACAGATGTCCCCTTTTATCTTTCCATTGACCCCCTCTACCCTGCACCCACCCTGGAATTGCTTTTTTATATATGCACAATTAATTTTGTAGGTCAATACTACACTTCTTAAAATTCTTCTATTGATTGATTGACTTTAGAGAGATAGAGAAACATCGATTTGTTGTTCCATTTACTTAGGCATTCATGGCTTGATTCTTATATGTGCCCTGACCAGGGGTCACACCCGAAACCTTGGTGCATAGGGATGACACTCTAACCAACTGAGCTACCCAACCAGGGCAATACTACACTTTTAACAAAACAAACTAGATACAACAGGACACAAAATATCGGAGTGTGTATCACCAATTAAGGGCATTATTCTGAGGCACCACTGTATAATAGAACTGTAATGTGAGCCACACGTGTAATTTGTACATTTCCCAGTAGCCACCTTTTAAAAAGTAAAACAGGAGAGATTAATTTTAATCATCTATTTGATTTAACCCAGCATATACCAAAATGCTAGTATCTCAACACGTAATCCATATAAAAATTATTCGTGAAATCTTTTACGTTCTTTTTGTCTTACCAAGTCTGTAAAACCTGGTTTGTATTTTCAATCGAGTGCACATCTCAGTTCAGATCTACCATATTGCCAGTTTCGATAGCCAGGTGTGGCTCCTGTGCTGGACAGAACAACCTTACGGACAATTTTGGTTATATACACAAAGGTGTGTACTGCGTTGTAAAGTAGGATGTTTCCTCCTGGGGACGTAGTCCACAGAGTTGGAAAGCACCTCACAACCTACAGGCAGGATGGGCGAATCCTACCAAGTAGCAAAAGAAGCCAGACACACAAGAGTACATGCTGAGTGATTCCCTACATCAAGGGTGGGCAGAACTGCACCCTGTTGATAGAAGTCAGGAAAGCAGCTGAACCTGGGGAACGAATGGGTTAATAGTCACTGAGATGGGGCATGAGTGGGCTTGGGGGGAGCTGTGTGTTCTGTTTGTGACCTGGTGCTGCATATACAGGTTGTTTCGTTTGTAAAAACTTGTTGAGCTGCCCATCAACGCATGAATGGATAAACACAACCTGGTATGTCCTTCCAATGGAATATTATTCAGCCATGAAAAAGAATGAAGGGGTACCCTGGCCGGGAGGCTCGGTTGGTTGGAGCATCGTCCTATACACAAAGAGGTTGTGAGTTCGATTCCCAGTCAGGGCACATACCTAGGTTGCAGGTTCGAGCCCCAGTTGGGTCACATGGGGAGGCAACCGATTGATGTTTCTCACATCGCTGTTTCTCTCTCTCTCTAAAATTAATTTAAAAAATCACATATCCTCGAATGAGGATTGAAAAAACAAACAATGAAGTGGTGATACACATGACAGCGTGGATGGACTTTGAAAGCATTATGCTGAATGACAGAAGCCAAACACAAAAAGACAAATACTACATGATTCCATTTATATGAAATATCCAGAATAGGTAAATCCATAGAGACAGAAAGTAAATTAGTGGCTGCTGGAGACTGGCAGAGGGAGAGGGCAGTGACTGCTTTAATGGGCACAGGGTNCTCAGGTCCAATCTCTTCTTCCTCCACTCTCCCTCCACAGTCATCGAGGAGAAGGGTGTGAAGCTCAAGCTGACGGTGACTGACACCCCTGGCTTCGGGGACCAGATCAACAACGACAAGTGGTGGGTTGTATGGGGTGAGGCTGAGCCCGCTTGCCCTGCCCCGCCCCCCCCTCCAGCCTCTGGGAGACATCCCAGCCCTGGAACAACCTGGCTGTGGTTTCCTTGAGCCTCGGTTTATTGGTCTATATAATGAGTACACAACTCTGCCTTCAAGGTTGAAGGGAGTCGCTGTGTAAAGGTTTTAGCCTCTGCCTGGCACACAGTAAGAGCTCGGTAAAAGTTATGATGTAGCAGGGCCTAGAAGCCCACACTCCAGAGTCCGGGCCACTGGGTTAAACCACTTTCTAGCTGCACAACCTGAGACCAGTAACAGAAGCTCTCTGAGCCTTGGTTTCCTTCTCTGTGACTTGGGAATGATGACACCCACCTTGCAGAGTTGTTCAAGGCTCTAAATGAGACACACACATGCACACACACACANTGGGTTAATAGTCACTGAGATGGGGCATGAGTGGGCTTGGGGGGAGCTGTGTGTTCTGTTTGTGACCTGGTGCTGCATATACAGGTTGTTTCGTTTGTAAAAACTTGTTGAGCTGCCCATCAACGCATGAATGGATAAACACAACCTGGTATGTCCTTCCAATGGAATATTATTCAGCCATGAAAAAGAATGAAGGGGTACCCTGGCCGGGAGGCTCGGTTGGTTGGAGCATCGTCCTATACACAAAGAGGTTGTGAGTTCGATTCCCAGTCAGGGCACATACCTAGGTTGCAGGTTCGAGCCCCAGTTGGGTCACATGGGGAGGCAACCGATTGATGTTTCTCACATCGCTGTTTCTCTCTCTCTCTAAAATTAATTTAAAAAATCACATATCCTCGAATGAGGATTGAAAAAACAAACAATGAAGTGGTGATACACATGACAGCGTGGATGGACTTTGAAAGCATTATGCTGAATGACAGAAGCCAAACACAAAAAGACAAATACTACATGATTCCATTTATATGAAATATCCAGAATAGGTAAATCCATAGAGACAGAAAGTAAATTAGTGGCTGCTGGAGACTGGCAGAGGGAGAGGGCAGTGACTGCTTTAATGGGCACAGGGTTTCTTTTGGGGGTGACATAAGTGTTTTGGAGCTAGGTGTGGAGCTACACAACACTACAAGTGNGGCACAGGGTTTCTTTTGGGGGTGACATAAGTGTTTTGGAGCTAGGTGTGGAGCTACACTAAATGCTACTGAATTGTTCACTTTAGATGGTTACTGGTAAACTTTTATTATATGAATTTTGCCTCAGTAAGAAAGGGGGTAAGCATTGAGGTGGACACTTGGGATAGTATACATTTTTCTAAATTTACGTTATACTTAGAAAACAGTTTACTTTCTAAAAAGATTTAAGAGTTTGGGAAACACCGCCTAAAATGTCCACCGTCATTGCTGTCATCCGGTTGCTCCCAGGGCAGAGTGGGCTGGGCAAGTCCACGATGGTGAACACACTGTTCAGGTCCAAGGTGTGGAAGTCCACCCCACCGGGCCTGGGGCAGGGGCCCATGCCCCAGACGCTGCAGCTGCACTCGGTGACCCATGGTGAGTGAGACC